GGGCTTCTGCCGCCGTAGAAAGGAAAGAGAATTCTCACTTGGCAGAGACTGTGTGAGTGACATGCAGATGGCAACAGAAGTTGGACTAAACAGATTCATGGGTCAAGCATCTGCCCCATGGTCCTAACATGGCAAGAAATTTGTTAAGACTTCTTGGAAGAACTGTGATGATTTACTGTATCTCATTGTCTCCTGATCCAAACCATGGTCTTTTCACTTGTTTACCGTACACCTGAAAGGTGGACAGTGAACGTGGATGACAGAAGAAGAATCAATGCTTTTTAATTGTGGTGTTGGCAAAGGGTACTCAGTATCCCATGGACTGCCAGAAGGATGCACATTCATCCTGGAGGGTGTAAAACCCGAATGCTCCTTAGAGCCAAGGATGGTGAAAATGTGTCTCATGAACTCTGAGCATGCTGTCAGGAGGGGCCAGTCCTTAAAAAGAGACCTCATGCTGGGAAAGGAGGAGGATCAGAGAAAGAGATGAAGACCTTCCACCAGATAGATTGACCAGGGACCGTAACAATAGGCTCAAGTATGTCAAAGATGATGAGGATGGTAGAGAATAGAACAGGGTTCAGATCTGGTGTTCGTAGGTCACTCTGAGTCATAGTGGCCTAACAACAACAATTGATGGTCAGACCATCAGTTACTCGTGTACAAGTTCATATTGAAGCCAAAGAAAGGTAAAAGAGGTCCACGAGAGCCAGGAAGTGATTTTGAATCTACTCCATCTGAATTTCAAGATCATCTTAAGAATAGGTTTGAGGCATTGAACACCGTGATCAAAACCCAGATGAGTTATGGGATGGTATTATCAAGGATATCATCCATGAAGAAAGCAAAAGGTCTTTATAAAGACAGAGGAGAAATAAACATGAAGTGGGTGTCAGAAAAGACTCTGAAAATTGCATTAGAGCATCAAGAAGCCAAAACAGAACGTGTCAAAGTAAAGGAGCTGAACAGAAGGTTTCAAAAGGCAGCCCAAGAGGACAAAGCAAAGTATTATAATGGACTGTGCAGAGAGCTGAAATTGGAGAACAGAAAGGGAAGAACTCGCTCTGCATTTCTCAAGCTGAGAGAACTTAAAAAAAATTTAAGCCTCAAGTCACAGAATTGAAAGATGCTATGGGCAGGATACTGAATGACCTAGAAAGCATCAAAAGAAGATGGAGGGAATACACAATCACTGTAACAGAAAGAACTGACTGACACTGAAAAATTTCACAAAGTACAGAAACCAATGGTAATGAAGGAAGAAGTGGAAGCTGCAATAAGATACCAGTTGATTTGTTTGAACTGAAAAATGCAGCCCTGGATGCACTCACCAGGAAATGCCAGGAAATCTGGAGGAAGGCTGTCTGGCCAACAGATTGGAAGAGGTCCATTTTTGTTGTCATTCCCAAGAAAGGCAATCCAACAGAAGGTGGAAATTATTGGACAATATCGTTGGTATCACATGCAAGCAACATACTGTTGAAGTTCATTCAAAAACAGCTAGAACAGTACATAGATCAGAAACTGCCAGAAGTTCAAGTAGGATTTAGAAGAGGCCATGGCACCAGGTATGTCATTGCTGGTGTCAGATGAATCCTGGCCAAAAGTAAGGAATACCAGAAGAATGTCTGTTTGTGCATTTGATGGTGTGGATCATAACAAGTTGTGACTAACATTGAGAAGAATGGGAATCCCAGGACACTTGGTTATGCTTATGCTAGACCTAGACCAGGAGGCTGTGGTGTGAACACAGCAGGGTAAAACACTGCATGGTTTAAGATTAAGAAGGGAGTGTGTAAGGCTTTTATTCTCTCTTCATATCTATTTAATCTGTATGCTGAGCAAATTACTTGAGAAGCAGATTACTATGAAGAGGAATGTGGCATCAGGATTGGAGGGAGACTCATCAGTAACTTGCGTTATGCAGATGACACAACTTTGCTTGCTGAAAGGAAGGACGACTTGAAGCACTTGTTGCAGGAAATCAAAGAATACAGCCTTCAATATGAATTATATCTCAGTGTCATAAAAACAAAGATTCTTACCACTTGTCCAATAGGCAACATCATGATAGACAGGGAAAAGATTGAAACTGTCAATAATTTCCCCTTACTTGGATCCACAGTTAACACTGTTGGTACCAGCAGTCTGGAAATCAGGAGATGTATTGTACTAGGGGAGTCTGCAATTAGGGACCTCTCCAGATTCTTGAGGAGTAATGATGTCAGTCTGAGGACTAAGGTGCATCTGATTCAGGCCTTGGGCTTCCTGTTAACTTGCTATGCTTCTGAGAACTGGATGATGAATAAGTATGATAGAAGAATTGAGGCCTTTGAGCTGTGGTGTTGGAGCAGAGCACTGGACATCCCATGGATGGCCAGAAGAACATATAAATATGTCTTGGAGAGGGTGCAGCCAGAGTGCTCTTTGGAGACAAAAATGATGAGGCTTCACCTCACATACTTCGAGCATGTTGTTAGAAGGGGCTATTCGTTGGAGAGCAAAATGATGCTCAAAACGGTAGAGGGTTGGTGAAGGAGAGGAAGGCCCTTGACAAGTGGGTTGACACGGTGACTGTCACGATGGGCTCTAATGAGTCAGGAAGTGTGAGGATGGCATGGGATAGGACAGGCTTTAGATACCTTGTTCATAGGGTTGTTACTGGTCATACTCAACTCAACAGCACTTAACAACAATAACCAACAACCTTATCTCCTGCGTTGCTATAGTAGAACTTCTTTGAACAAAAGAACTTTCTAGTCTCTCAATTCTGTTGTTGTTAAGTGCCGTCGAGTCATAAGCAACTCGTAGCAACCCTATGAATGAAAGTCCTCAACACTTGTGTGACTTTCACCCTTGCTCCAGGTTCATAGGGTTTCCAGAGGCAAGCTATTTACAGAAGTGGATGCCACCCCTGCTTCCTCTCTCAAATCTAGGGGATGAAAAATCCTAAGTAAAGTCTCAACTGTGTAGATCCCTTGAGAAGCTCTCTGGTTCCTTATTGTGTTTAAGTATGCACACATATGTGTGCTAAACTTTTAGATCTTTTTCCAACTCAGAACTGTTTAGATTTAGAACCCACCCTACTCAGATCTGATCTTATTCATATGCCAAAGCAACTATCCTTTCAGCTGGATTCTGTCCACAAGTATGTCGTTGTTTTTAGGTACCATCAAGTAGACTACAATTCATAGCCACTTTGTGAACGTCAGATCAAAATCTTACCTCATCCTGCACTGTCCTCACAATTTCTACCATGCTCAAGCCCATGTCATTACTGTGTCGGTCCTTTTCTTTGAGAGTCTTCCTCTGTTTTACTGACTCTCTTACCTTTCCAAGCATGGTACCTTTATCCTGAAGCCTTTGGGCTCTCCTCACAGCATGCCCAAAGGTATGTGAGACAGAATTTCACCATCGTTGCCTCTAAGCAGCACCCTGGTTGCATTCGCTCCAAGACAAAGGTTTATTCTCTTGGCAGTCCATGGGATATTCAGTACTCAGGACAGCACCGCAGTTCAAAGTCATCAGGTCCCACAATCTACTTGTTCTCTGTCCTACATTCACATGCATACAAAGCAATTGAAAAGACCATGGCTTGGATCAAGAGACATATAGTAAATCATCAGGATGCCTCCAAGGAGCCTTAGTCAGGTGCATCTCCTTATTGTTGTTATTGTTATTTGCCGTCAGGTCGCGACCCTGTGTACAATAGCCCTGAAACCTGCTCTATCCTGAGCCAACCTTATTGTCTCTGACATACCTACCCTCATTACCACAGTCACTGAGTCAGAGTCAATCCCTCTCATCGAGGGCCTTCTTCTCTTGGCTGTCAAGCATGATGTCCCTCTCTAAGGACTGATCCCTCTTTGCAACATGCCCAAAGTATGTCAGATGAAGCCTCAGAATCCTTGCCTTCAAGGAGCAACCAGATTTCATCCTCTCCAGAACAAACCTTTTTGTTCTCATT